TTCACGGCAAACGCTTCAACGCACAAGACTTCTTCATCCGCCAACTTGCTGCTTCAGGATCTGATCTTTTTGGCTTGAAGTTCTACGCTCCATGGATAATGCGGCTGATCAAACTCCACTCAGCTATCTCATATCATCCATCTGCTCGCAATCATCGGATCTTTATGCCTGACGTGGATATGTCCGTTGAAGCCCTCTATCCAGAGCCTGCCAAGGAGCCTCTTAGTCTTCAGAATGCGGAGCATCAAAATTTCTCTTAGAACATTGAAGGAGTTGAAGCAGTCACTCGTGTTTATCCTCTGGCTGGCACTACACGTGCACCTCATCGTGCCCTCACTGAAGCCACTGAAAGCACTATTGCCCAACGGCCCAAGAAGCGATCTCGTGTTCTCGATGACCGAGAGCTTCTGGTTGCTCTTCATCAGAAACAGGATAGGCATCATAACTGGCTGAAGCGCCAAATGAAAAGCCTCTTGATGGATGTCAACCGCATTCGCAATCTTGCCACCAAGAATGCCTTTGTTGCCCATGAAACCTGTCGGCGTACATGGAAAGGGCTGATGCTTATGTGCTCTGAGGATGATCTTCAAGAAGATGGCTTCTCTGAACGTTTCAAGTTTGACTCCACACCACCCCGAAGGGCTGTGCTGTGACGAACTCCCTCTCTTGAAGACTCTGAGTTCTCTTCCTTTGCGGCAACTATGAATGCCAGAGTGATCGAGGACGAAGACGATGCTACTTCACCGCCCCCTCCTTCAGCACGCATCGACACTGCCCTGAGCTTGTCTGCACCGCCTAACAACACCGACGACCTAGCTACTTCACCTACTCCTCATGGGAACGAGTAGATGCTCTATGTCTTCAAACCTTTTTGGTCCTTACTGATAAAAGGGGGAGAAGCATATGGGTTTGATAGTCTTCAAGCGGGTCCATATGGGCGGTTACTTTATGTTTTGCCTAGTGTTTACAACTCTCGTTTTGATACATTTGGTTCTTTGAGTTATAACACTTAAACTCGATGGTCGTCTGCTACTTATTTGCTATTTTGTGATGCGATGATAAATTCCGCATGTGCGACGATAAATTCCGCACTTAGATCATTTTGCAGACATCCATTTTCCATTATGCATGTCATTAACTTCACATACTTTTCATGCATTATGAATTGTCATCATAAGTTGAAGAGGATCTCCACAAGTACAACCTGCCATGTGCATTTGCATTCCAAAAGCAAATTACTTATATGCACATCTTCAGGGGGAGCCCTTGCAACTTATGAAGACAATTCCTTATCCTTTACAATTTCACATATTATATTCCCCGTTGAAAACTTCAACTAGTTTGTCATCAATCACCAAAAAGGGGGAGATTGTAAGTGCATCTAGTGCCACCCCTAGTTGGTTTTGGAGTATTGACGACAAACCTAGTTAAGGGACTAATGTGTTTGTGAGAATTGCAGGATAACACAGGTAGAAGTCCCTCATTGATTCGGTTTTCCTACCAGAGATGACCCCTAAAAATGTATGAAGACATTAAAGTCAAAGGTGGTATGTGAAGACATTCACATTGAAGACTATGACAAGAGAATACATCGCATGAAGACTATGGAGCGCGAAGACTTAGATCTTTCATAGTTCTTTTTCTTCTTTGTTGAGTCATAGGAACCACCGTACTGTTAAGTGGGGTCCAAGAGAACCAGTCAGAATGACTGAAGTGATGCTTAACCAAAATCCTATGTCTTCGAGTGAAGACTATGAGAGCGAATCTTGTTCAGAGTTGGACAAGTCAGCTTTGCTTGTAGCCCAAGTAAAGTTGCCGTATGTGTTTGAAATCTGACCGTTGGAACACATGGCAGTTCCTTAGTGACCCAGGGTCATTTCGGACAAATCAGGTTAGATTGCCTAGTGGCTATAAATAGCCCACCCCTTACAACCATAAATGGTTGGCTGCTCAGAGTTAAAGTATAACTGTTGTTGTTTGAGAGCAACCCACCTCGAAGCCTTTGAGAGAGAATTCCTTGCGAGGATAAAGCCCTAACCACCCAGAGCCAAAGAGTGTTAGGCATCACTTAAGTCGTCTTGTCTGTGTGATCTTAAGACTTATTACACTTGAGGACTCCGAATCCTCCAGCCGGTTAGGCGTCACGTTCTGAGCATCCAAGAGTCATTGTGGATCGCCGGTGAACGAAGTCTGTGAAGGTTTGGAAGTCTACCCGGAAGACTTACCAGAGTGATTGGGCGAGGTCTGCGTGACCTTAGTTCAAGGGGAATACGGTGAGGACTAAGGGTCCTGAGCTGCGTGTTCAGGACTGGGTGTCCGAGACTGTGTGTCCTCAGGTTTAAATACCTAGCCGCCCTAACCAGACGTACAGTTGTCACAGCAACTGGAACTGGTCCAACAAATCATTGTCTTCAACGAGTCACTGGTTTCATCCTTCCCTTCCCTTCCCTTTACTTACTGTTGGTCCTTGTGAAGTCATTGTATGATTGCACTATCTTTTGTCTTCACTGAGTGATTGCTTGTTCTGATTGGCTTCACAATATCTTCCTTCCTGATCCTCACTGCCTAGCTGCTATTAGTCATTGTGCTTTCACTCCATTGAATACTTGACTATGGTTTGCCTAGTGTAGTCTACCTTCCGCTGCATGGTAATAGGTTTATTTCTGTCGTTTGTCTTCGAAACTTCCATGTTTTGAAGACTTTCATAAAAATCGCCTATTCACCCCCCCTCTAGTCGATCAGTAGCACTTTCAGATATTCTTTTATAATACGTTGTTCGTGTCAAGAACGCTTTTATATTATGAGACAGAGGAGCAAACACAACACATGTATTCTTTTTCCTAAATGGGCTATCAAAGCCATCACCTCACAGATGGCACATTTTTCTAGGGTAGTTCCGGGGATGAGCATAAATACCACCTAGCCAATTGGGGACTAATCTCCCAGAAAAAAGAATTTGGTGGCTTGGGGGTACCCAATGTAAGAGAGTTTAACATGGCTTTGTTAGCCTCTTGGGCTAAAAGGTACTTCATGGATCGAGATAAAGATTGGGTGCGGTTGAATGATCATAAATATAGAACTGATAAATCTAATTTGTTGTGGGCCAAACAAGGTGTGGGTTCACCTTTTTGGAAGGGGGTGACCTAGGCTTTTGAAGGCATCAGACCTTTTTTTAGATGGAACTTGGGAAATGGAGGTAGGATCAGTTTTTGGGATGACACATGGGTTGGGGATTCTTCCCTGAGAACTCAATTCTGGGAAGTATATGAGATTTGCCAACAACAACAATGTGTTGTGGCTAAGGTGTGGGATGGCTCCAACCTGGAACTCACCTTTAGTAGATGTGTTGATACCGAGTTTATGGATAGATGGCATGAGCTGATCCAGGTCATCTCTACTAAAAGGCTGACCAGTGGGGAGAACCAACCTGTCTAGCTGTTAGAGCCATCGGGAATATACTCGGTCAGATCCTTTTATGACATGATCAACTGGGGTGGAGTCTCTACCCTGGAAGATAGTTGTGCCTAACAAATACTTGGTCTTTATCTGGTTAGCTTTCAATAACAAAATTCTCAGCAGGGACAACTTGAACAAGAGGAGGGTGGTGGAGAATTTAAACTGCTTATTTTGCAATGAAAATGAAATAGTTCACCATTTGTTTTTGAATGTGTGGTAGCTAAACAAGTTTGGACTGATGTTGCTGATGCTTTTGGTTTCAATATCCCCACAAACATGACTGAGTTATCTTCCTTTTGGAAGATGAATAACAAGAAAATTGTTGTTAACATTGCTTGTGTTGCTGCCATTTGGGGCATTTGGACTATGCGTAACGGCATTTGTTTTCAGGGCGTGCCGTGGACAAGCACCCGGGTGATACTGGGAAAGATCAGCTCCTTTCTACATCAATGGAAGATCCTGTGTGTAGGCGAACAATCAGTGCTGCTTCGTCGCTGTCTTCAGCTCCTGGACCGTCGAAGAGGCGAGCTGCTCAGGATCGCCTGGGATGGAAACTAAGAGGGTGCTCAAAGAGGGCTCGAGACGGCAGCGCACTAAAGGCTCATTAGGGGTGATCTGCGTGAGGGGCTTGGGGCTCCCAATGCTCTTCAAAGGCTTTTTGTGTACCGCTTGTCAAAACTAGATCTTGATGTTGCCCTGCGTGGCGCTAAGACTCTCTCCTAGCTGCATGTTATGGTTTAGCTTTGGCGCTTTTGCGGTAGACTGTGCCTTTCTTCTTCGCTTTGCCAATTCTGGTAAACCCGATCGCTTGTAACAGTCGCTCTGACCTTGCTTTGCCCCGTTGTTAATAAAAGTGGGGTGGAGGAAACCCCTTTTGATAAGAAAAAACAGAGGAGCAGTTAATAACGAAAAGAATTTAATCCACAAGCTAACGCACATTGGAGATGCACCATTTCAGGAGCGCCAGCGTGCAAACCACGAGCCGTCACGTATTTCCCACTTGGGTGCTGTGCCAGGCTATCGTCACCGCTGACGGCTCACCTAGACGGACGTGATGACCCGCCGGTACAAGCCTTCGTCAGTCGTGGCCTACTTTTATTCCACTCACACTTGCCAAAAATCGACTTTTTATTCCCCCCGATCCCGTCCTTCACTTCGCACACACTCTCCCCCCGATCTCGGCCATGGTTGCGCCGCCGCCGGCGGCGACGGAGAAGAAGAAGACGTTCGTGCTCTACCCGTCGCTGGGCGTGGGCCACCTGAACCCCATGGTGGAGCTGGCCAAGCACCTGCTCCGCCGCGGCCACAGCGCCGTCGTCGCCGTCGTCGACCCGCCCGACGGCGACCCCACCTCGGCCGCCGCGGTGGCGCGCCTCGCCGAGGCCAATCCCTCCATCGCCTTCCGGCTCCTCCCGGCCCCGCCCAGCCCGGACCCCGCCGCGCACCCCATCAAGCGCGCCCACGACACGCTCCGCCTCGCCAACCCCGCGCTCCGGGACTTCCTGCGCGCCCTGCCGGCCCCCGCCGACGCCATCCTGCTCGACATGTTCTGCGTCGACGCGCTCGACGTTGCCGCCGACCTCGCCCTCCCCGCCTACTTCTTCTTCGCCTCCGCCGCCAGCGACCTCGCCGTGTTCCTCAACTTGCCGTACCTCTACCCCGGCCTGCCGTCGTTCAAGGACATGGGCGAGGCGCTCGTGCACAGCCCCGGCATGCGCCCGGTCCGCGCGGCGGACATGCCGCTGTCGGTGCAGGACAAGGAGAGCGACATGACCAAAGCCCGGATGTACCAGTTCAAGCGCATCGCGGAGGGGAGGGGCGTGCTGGTCAACACCTTCGACTGGCTGGAGCCCACGGCCCTGAGAGCGCTCGCCGACGGCGTCTGCGTGCCCGACCGGCCGACGCCGAGGGTGTACTGCATCGGGCCATTGGTCAACGACGGCAAGAAGAGCGGGGACGGCGAGACGCGGCACGAGTGCCTCGCGTGGCTGGACGCGCAGCCGGAGCGGAGCGTGGTGTTCCTCTGCTTCGGCAGCATCGGCGCCGTGTCCGCGGCGCAGCTGAAGGAGATAGCTCATGGGCTGGAGAGCTCCGGCCATCGCTTCCTGTGGGTCGTACGGAGCCCACCGGCGGACCCGGCCGACGTCTTCCAGCCGCGCCCGGAGCCAGACCTGGACGCGCTCCTCCCCGAGGGGTTCACGGAGAGGACACGGGACAGAGGGATGGTGCTGAAGATGTGGGCGCCGCAGGCGGAGGTACTCCGGCACGCCGCCACCGGCGCCTTCGTGACGCACTGCGGCTGGAACTCGGCGCTGGAGGCGATCATGGCCGGGGTGCCGATGATATGCTACCCGATGTACGCCGAGCAGGCGATGAACAAGGTGTTCATGGTGGAGGAGATGAAGATCGCCGTGCCGTTGGAGGGGTACGAGAAGAGAATGGTGAAGGCGGAGGAGATAGAGGCCAAGCTGAGGCTGGTGATGGAGACTGAGGAAGGGAGGGAGCTCCGGGAGACGCTTGCGACGGCGAGGAAGATGGCGTCGGACGCCATCGGCGACGGCGGGTCTTCCGAAGTGGCATTCGCCGAGTTCTTGAGAGATTTGGAGAATGGAGGATGCAACAATTGATCAAGCTGGCTGGATGACAGATGTACTCTGCAAGGTTGGTAGTAACAACCTGCAGATTTTCTCAGCAGCATAGGAGAAAAATAGAGTTTGTATTACTGCATTAGTGTGTCCAGTGCAGCAGGGAGGGCTCATTGCTCACTCAAATTATTGTATCAATCAAATTGAATAATGTCGGCACCAAATCATCAGAGAGGCATGCGCCAAATACAGCAGTTCATTGTGATTTTTTTGGGGGATCTAAACTGTTCATTGTGACTGTCAATTCTGAACAGATGCACTGATTATTACCTAACATATTGTGATAGAGCTTGCAGTTTTCACAGCTTCAGTTTGGAATTTGGAAGCACAACTAGCTATGGGCATATATCATTTTGAGAATATAATTGCTGAAGCAGCTAATCTGCATAGCACAACTACTATCACCACCTGCTGCAAGCCTGTAAATTCACAACAGATAGTTCATACTTCTGATCAAGGGAGGGAATCGGTGCTAACCTTGAAAATCACACAATTCCAAGACCAATCTTGCTGCTGTCATTCTGTGCATGGTCACTCTGGGAACTTTAATCACCTCAAGAACTCAAAGAACACCATCTATGGCGACCCACTGTTTGCCTGCGCTTCCGCGGCCTTCTCCTTCGCCAATGACAGCCTCACATTACAGAACAAGTGTAATGATCTTAAGACAACTAAACCAAAATCAGGGTAAGAACAGCACAAAATGCATGAGAGAGCAATGCCTGTGTTAGTAGAGCTGCAGCTACGATGCACAATCTTTTTAGACAACCAGGCCTATGGCTATGGCCCTGCTTTTCATTGAACCAAATGGTAATCAGGTTTTGCTGGAGGTGCCAGCTAACAATATAACATCAGGATAAAATGCATGAGAAACAGAGTAGCTCCCTAGACCAAACACCAGCAGCAAAAGTATAAAAGACAGTACAGCTAAGGGCAGAAAAAAAATCCAGGATCTTCATCTGGCGAAAAGAACAGCGCAGTTTCCTCAGGAGGCATCAACATTGTTGAAGAACAAGATCTAAGATCTCCTGCTTCCTTGTCCAGAGAACCAGCCAATGCTGCAAGAAGATCACCCGATGCGTTTAAAAATAAGGTTGTTTCGGGTTGTCGATAAAGCCAAACAGCCATAACACCCTAACAAATAAACTCCACACTCCCATTCGAGCCATAATTCAGACAACCAAGGAAATGATGCATGGGACAGAGGACTCCACCGCCATCCCAGCGTCTCCCTAATCACACAGCCGATAAGATACATGGACTAGAAGTCTAGAAGTATAAATACTATTGCTAGTTAAACTCCACGAGACTTTATCAGCCTCTGAAACAAGTGTTTGATCTTTTCCAAACCATTTCAAAGCTGTGATCCTTTCTTAACAGACATAAAAATGGAAGAACCATCAGGCAAGTATTTCTTCAGAAAAAATTGTTGCCACAAAGAATCATTAGACTCATTAAAAAGCTTGCAGATCCATTTCAGCAACAGAGATGCTTATGTAAATGCTTGCTGGTGCCGTGAGCCCTCCTAGTCATGCCATGAGATCCATTTCAGCAACAGAGATGTGCTCAGCACCAGAGTAGTCTCTAAAAGCTTTCAAAAGGGGCAGGTCAAACAGAAACATATTTCAGTCTAGCTTATATGCTCCACACAACAAACTAAAGCTATACCAACAGACCAATGAAAATGGTTTGCGTGGATCACAGGAGGCCAAGAAAAGACTAGAGGGGCAATGCAATGGACAAAAACTGACGTAGAAACAACTCCATTTATGTAGTAGATTTACCTGAGTTCTTCCAAGAAAAGAACATCATGAGTAGGTTGTGCTTCGATATTTAGGCGCTTACTGTGATTTCGCATTTCAGCACACGAGTAGGAGGGCTCATGCCACCAGTAAGATTGAAATAATAACCATAGCAATTCATCAAGGGAGCATGTGCTAAATACAACAGTCCCATGTACTGTCAATTCTGAATGCAACATAACTGAGGAAAGCTTCAGTTTGGAATTCAGCAGCACAGAGCTATGACATATCATTTCAATAGTATATTGCTGAAGCAGCAATCATAACTTTCACCACATCATCTTAACACCAGAAGCGCAAGTTCATAATTCATGGTGGGAATTGATGCAAACCGCCAGAATCACACATTCCAAGACCAATACTGTTGCTATCTTGTGTGCTTGATCATGTGGAGAGCTTTGAATCCTTCAAGAACTCGGCAAACGCCATCCGCGACGGCCCGCCGTCTGCCAGCGCTTCAGCGGCCTTCTCCTTGGCCAATGCCAGCCTATCCCTCAGCTTCTCCCCTTCTTCTGACTCCATGACCAGCCTCACCTTCTTCTCCACCTCCTCAGCCTTCACAAGCTCCTCATCGTATCCCTCCATTACCACTCCGACCTTCATTTCATCCACCACGAACACCTTGTTCAGCCTCTGCTCCGCGTACTGCGGCCAGCACAGCATCGGCACCCCGGCCGACGCCGCTTCCAGGACGGAGTTCCACCCGCAGTGCGTCACAAACGCGCCGGTGGCGGCGTGCCGCAGCACCTCCACCTGCGGCGCCCACATCTTCAGCACCATCCCCCTGCCTCGTGTCCTCTCCGTGAACCCCTCGGGGAGGAGCGCGTCCAGGTCTGGCTCCGGACGCGGCAGGAAGAATTTGGCCGGGTCGTCCGGCGGGGTGCGCACGACCCACAGGAAGCGGTGGCCGGAGTTCTCGAGCCCGTGCGCTATCTCCTTCAGCTCCGCCGCCGACACGGCGCCCATGCTGCCGAAGCAGAGGAACACCACGCTCCGCTCCGGCTGCGCGTCCAGCCATGGCAAGCACGCGTGCCGCTCGCCTTGCGCCGCCGCCGAGTCCGAGACGATCAACGGCCCGATGCAGTACACCGGCGGGGTCGGGCGGCCGGGGACGCACACGCCCTCCCGGAGCGCCCTCACGGCCCTCGCCTCAAGCCACTCGTAGGTGTTGACCAGCACGCCCCGGGCCTCCGGGATGCGCCCGTAGTGCCCGATCCTGATGGTGCAGATCGGGTCCGCGCGGTCCATCACGGTGTGCGGCATGTCGGACGCCGGGATCGGCGGGACCCCGGGGAAGCGGAGGGGCGCCTTGCCCATGTCCTTGAAGCTCCCCTCCGTGGTGGCGAAGTGGTGCGGCAGGTGGAGGAACGCCGCGAGGTCACCGGCGGAGGAGGTGTAGTAGATGTAGGCCGGGA